CGGGATGGTCTGATGAGGCCATCCCGACTCCATGCCATTGTTCCCCCCCACACAGTATGCACATCATCACAAACTCCATAGGGAGCCCTCAGTGCGGAGGTGCAGTTCATCGATTCCTCGTTTAAGCGCATGGCAAATGGCACAAACCCCCGACCAGGGCTCTTTTTGTAGAAAAAGCCCAGCAGGAACTCATTAGCATAACAGGCCACACCCAACAGCAGAAACTCATTAGCATATTAGGCCACACCCTGACAGCACAGCTCATTAGCTGCAGTACCTCTTCCTTGCTAGAGGTGAAACCACCCACTCTTACCCTCCCTGCAGTGCCCTTTGTAAGATTGTCAGCTCTGGCTTGGGATACCTGGAGGTTTTGGGGGTGGAGCCTGAGGAGGGCGGGGTTTGGGGAGGGGAGGGGCTTCAATGCAATAGAGGCCACTGTCCAAAATGTGTCCTGCGGCTGCTTCAGCCCAACACAGCTGGCCCACCAATGCTCCTTCTACGCTGTGGAGTCTTGTGAGCACAAATCCTACCTTGTGAGCTGCTGGCATTCAAGTTGTGGGCGAGCGATTTGGCCACGGCATAAATTAGTGCGCTCTGGAGCCATCCCTTCCTGAGCGGAGACAAAAACCGGTGAGCCAGAGGCTAAAGAACTGTGAGCTAGCTCACACTAACTCAGCTTAGAGGGAACATCTGGATTTTTTGTTTGTTTTTTGGTTCACTGACCAGGTATATCGCTTAACCTCAGAGGGTGGCAGAGAAAGGCCAAGAAATCTGCCAGCTCCGTTTGCAAAGAGAGAGAGAGAGAGAGAGAGAGAAAATGCAAACAGCAGAATTAATTTTAGGTGGAATCAGATTACAACTTGCAAAACAGCTTTCAGCTTTTTTCTTCTTTTTCCATTTCCAATTTTATTAAAAGAGAAATCAAGTATACATAAACAAGATTGCTGTTTGGACCATAATACAAACTGTCAGTGCAAATACATATTTCACAATGCCACCTATTACTTTGTCAGCAGGAACATCCTATAACCAAATCCTA